GCAGAGATCCTGATGCGGGGCTTGACCCCAGGACCCTGGGATCATGACCTGAGCCGAAGGCAGATGCCTAACGACTGAGCCACCCAGGTGCCCCAACAAACATGGATTCTCATCCCAATTAGCCACTCTTCTTCATCTGTAAAATGGGGATAATATTATCTACTCCCCAAGATAATCGTAAAGATTAAATAAAATAACGTGTGCCAACCTGCATTGCCCAACTGAAAGCTACTAGCCATGTGTAGCTGTTTAAATTTAAATTAATTAAAATTAAATAGAATTTAAAATTCATTTCCTCAGCCACAGCCATATTTCAAACAGTTAATAACCTCATATTGGCTAGTGACTACCATATTGAACAGAACAGAAATAGGACATTTCTATCATTGCAGGGAGTTCTATCTGACTGCGCTCTAAAGCACTCAACTTAGGGCCTGACCCAGGTCGTAAGCACAGTAAGTGAATGCTATCATTCTTGGAGGACTCAGGCAGTGAGACTGATTATTCTTGCAATAGCCTGCCAGAGGCCATCCATTTGATGTTCTCCAGGGTTAAGTCTGAAAATGAAGAGCAGGGGAAAAAAAAAAAGAAAAAGAAAATGAAGAGCAGGGAAGAGTCAGGCTGGTCAGGGCAGAAGGAGAGAAGGAGGAGGAAAGAGTCCCTTGGACAACACCAAGAGAGTTGGTGTTATGGATTGCCCAGGGGGTGGAGGTGAGTGGAATATTGTGTCTGGGGCGGGAAAGAAAAGAAGACCGAAAGAGAAAAAAGAAAGAGAGAGAGAAATTCAGGCACCCAAGAGCTGGTCCCCAGGAATGCAACTTTTGAGATCCTTAATCTCAATATCTTTATTATTGAGTTCATTCATACTGCATGTGTTTATTGAGTACCTATTATGTATCTGGTCCTGTCCTACGTGCTGGGAGTGCTACTATTAAAAAAAAAAAGGCCCTGCCCACAGAGAGCTTGTGTGTGAATATGAGGTGGGAAAACTAGAGGAGGAACATAATAAATGTGTAACATACATAGCATGTTAGATGGTGATATGTATTAAAGAGAAAAATAAAGCAAAGAAGAAGAGGGAAAGGAGGTGCAGTTTTTGATGGGGTAGTCAGGGAAAGCTTCTTAGAGAAGGTGGTGTTTTATTTTGGTTGCCTAGGGCTGTGGGGGTTGAAAGGAACGGGGAGTGACTGCTAAAAGGGGGATGAAATGTTCAAAATTGTGGTGATGGTCACACAACCCCATGAATATACTTAGAAACCATTGAATTGTACCCTTTTTTCTAAAAAAGAATTTATTTGGGGTGCCTGGGTGGCTCAGTTGGTTAAGCCTCTGCCTTCGGCTCAGGTCATGATCCCAGGGTCCTGGGATGGAGCCCTGCATCGGGCTCCCTGCTCCATGGGAAATCTTGTTCTCCCTCTCCCTCTGCCTGCCACTCCCCCTGCTTGTGCGCTTGCTGTTTACTCTCAAATAAATAAATAAAACCTTAAAAAAAAGAATTTATTTATTTGAGAGAGAGAGTGAGTGCGGGAGGGGTGCAGAGGGGCAGAGGGAGAGGGAGAGAGAATCTCAAGCAGACTCCCCACTGGGCACTGGGCCCAATGCAGAGACCACAACCTGAGTCAAAATCAAGAGTCAGACGCTTAACCGACTGAACCACCCAGGTGCCCCAAATTGTACACTTTAAATGAGTGAATTATAACTTAGCAAAGCTGTTATTAAAAGAAAAAAAATCACCCAGCCTGCTGCACCACAAATAGACTGAAGGGACCAAGGGCAGAAACTGTGGTCATCCAGGAGAGAGGGGACGGCAGCTTGGACCAGGGTGGTAGCAGTGGGGTGATGAGAAGTGCTCAGATTCTGGATTGATTTTGAAGGCACAACAGACAGATTTGCTTCTGAATCAGGTATGAGGTGTAAAAGAGCATTGTCAAAGATGACTCCAGAATTTTGTGCTTAGGAAACCGAAAGAGCTAAGGAACTAGAGGCCAGGAAAGGGAGAGGGGCTGGCCTGAGGGTACCAGTCACCAAGGTTAGCGCTGGGATTCTGAAAGGAGGCGGTATGATTGGTTAGATCTGCAGACCCTGAGCCCTACCATATTGCAGAACCTCTCCCAGCCTTGGTGCTGCAGCTTGCCTTCTGGGATCTACAAAGACTGATTGGGACAGATCCGACTCATTTAAGGTGCTGGGAGAGCATTCGTTCCTTCTCTTTCTCTTTCCTTCCCGACCTTCCGTGGACGTGAGACAGCTCTGAGCCAGGAGCGCAGGAGAGAATGAAGAGGGGGAGTACTGCAGACCTTAGGCCCCAGAGGGAGTGCTGGTCAGAGTCTGGGCATTGCTCCCAGCTGTCTGGATCCTATAATGGAGAGAGAAGAAGGGGAACATGCTCACCCCCCTGAGCCTGAAGGGTGGGCAGTCTGTGCCTCCACCCTCTTTAGGGGCTGGGAGGCCGGTGCCTACACATTGGGGTTGGCAGAGGATGATCTCTGAGTCAGTTCTCCCCAAGCCGGTGAGAGATTCTAGGAAGCTTTTAATTACCGCCTCAGAGTGGATGCTAGGTTAATGTGATGATTCGAAAGGTGTATTTTTCAATTATATTTAACCAAAAGATTTATAGTGAAGTAAAATATAATTAGGAGGCTGCCAGCAGACAGGCTTCCTGGGAGGAAGAGAGATGAGACAGACCCCTAATGGGGCAGGTTGGAGCCCAGGCTGCAGGACCTGCTCACCCCACCCCCACCCTCCAAGATGTCAAAGCATTCATCAATTCTGCCATTCCAACACACTGACTCAGTACCTACTCCATGCTGGGCTCAGAGTTTACCAGGGGGACAGAACAAACACTATGGTCCCTGTCCTCAGAGAGTTTACAGACTAGCAGGGTGGGCAGACCAAAAAAAAAAAAAAAAAAAAAGCAAGGCAACAGTTAAGTACTGCAAAGGAAATAGTAGAAAAGGCATCAGCAAAGGTTTCTCGGGTGGACATGGGGGTGGACCAACTGAGACTCAAAACATGAAAAGGAGCCAGCCATGAAGAGTGGGAGAGAGGTGAGAGGATTGGTTGGGCCAAGAAAGCCGTCCAGTTCCCTAGGGTGAGAAGGTGATCTTAGTGTGTTCAGAGTGGAAAGAAAGGCCACCGAGGCTGGGGTATGGAGAGGGAAAGTCAGGGGCTGGGGCATGGAGAGGGAGAGGCAGGGGCTGGGAGAGGGAGAGGCAGGGGTGGAGGACTGTGGGGAGGGAAGGAGGGACCAGATCCAGCTGATAAGGAGTTTGGATTTCATTCTAGGAGCTGAGGAAGCTGCTGGAGAATTTTAAGCCAGAGCGAAAGACCCGGCTTATATTTTTAAAAGATTACCCTAGCTGCTACAGGAGAACGGTTCAGAGTGGGGCAAGGTGGGAAGCCAGAGCAGACACCCAGAGGAGAGGTGATGTGACCTGGCTTAGAGGGAAGCAGTAAGGTAGGAGAGAAGAGCCTGGACTCATGTGCCTATTGGAGCAAGGATCAGTGGCTCTTGCTGAGAGTCTATATGGAGAATGAGAGGAAGGGGGAACTCAAGGATGAGTCCAGGTTTTCGGCTTGAGCAACCAACTGGATGCTGCCCTTTACTGAAATGAGGAAGCTCAGAGAAGAAATAGGTGGGAAGACGTGTGGATAAAGAGTTCAGATTTGGGGGGCGCCTGGATGGCTCAGCCTGTTAAGTGTCTACCTTCTGTTCAGGTCATGATCCCAGGGTCCTGAGATGGAGCCCTGCATCAGGCTCCCTCTTCAGTAGGGATACTGCTTCTCCCTTTCCCTCTGCTCCCCCTGCTTACCCTCTCTCTCTGTGTCAAATGAATGAATAAAATCTATTTTTTTTAGATTTTTATTTATTTATTTATTTGACAGAGAGAGTGAGAGAGAGAGCACAAGCCAGCCAGATGCCCTAAAATCTTTATTAAAAAAAAAGAGATCAGATTTGGAATGGAGACCCTCTAGGGGCTTCCCTGGCCCTGAAGGATGGATGTCTGGATGCTTCACCCCAAGGGGGTCCACTCTCACCACCTCATTCTATTGCTCCCCACCTTGTCTAACTTTTGTATGTCTAACTTCCATTCCTCCTGTTGCACTTGGGAGCGCATGCTTCTCTCTTTGGAGAGCACATTCTGTCATTCTCAGCTCCCTTTAACTGCCTAAATTCCTGAAATTCTACCACTAAGTTCGTACTGTACTGTACTCGTACTCATTGAGAACCCACTATGGGTCGGACACCATGCTGTAAGCGTTGGCTACGTTATTTCCATCCAATCCCACTAACCACTCTTTCCATAGTATTAATATAACAATAATAATAGTGACCATTTAATGACAACTCTCTTGAACTAAGCCCTTAAATTGAATTATATTTAACTTTTTTAAAGTTTTTTATTTATTTAAGTAATCTGTACACCCCATGTGGGGCTCGAACTCACGACCTCGAGACCAAGAGTTGCACACTCCTCTCCTCTGACCAAGTCAGCCAGGCGCCCCTACATGAATCATATTTAAATCTCACTGAGAAATAACCTGCCCAGAGTCGTATAGCCAGTTAGTATTGAGAATGGGATGAGAAATCTAGGATTGTCTCCAGTACACCAGACTCTCTGGGGGCATGAGAACTGCATGGATGATGAAAGGGAAGAGCTATTTGGATGCCTTTCCTCTCCCCCTCGCTCATTCTTTCCCAGATGAAGCACAGAGGCAACATTATTCTCTCAGACTTCCTTCCCTGGGTGCAGTGGGCAAGCACCCCGATGACAACCCCCAGGCATGCACTGTGCTGGGCAAATCTGCCCATTTGTTGGGGAGGGAACAGTTGTTATAGGAGCTACCACATCCTTAGAGGCGTTGCCTGGTATCAGAAGAGGTGAGTGCCCAACCATGTAATGAGGGGTCCTGCTCTGTGACCCAGAGAGGTGATTCTTATATCCCCCATCCTCTGAGAATGGCTTAACACATTTGTGCAGGAATTGGTGTGCACACATGTGTAAACCAGAACAGGCCTGCCTCTTGCACATTTCCCTCTGGATATGTGTGTGTGTGACACGACGGTTATCTGGTCATCTGGGCCCTCGCAAAGGCAAATAACTTGTACGTTTTTTCATGCATGGGCCTGCGGTTGGAGTTCACGCAGTATAGAAAGGGCCTGGCCCCAGAGTTGAGTTTGAAGCTCAGCTCCCCACCTCTTCTTGCCTGTCCCTAGCTCCCTGCCTCTTCCCCACCTCCCCTCATGCTGGGCAGAATGCCCTCAGCCTGTGCCGGCTGGCACACAGGCCACATGGTGCCTGGCTCACGTCTGGGCAAGGATGACGCCCCCAGGCCCGGCTGGGATACTAAGCCACCCGCTGCCTCCCCCACCTCCAGAACGGAGCATCCCCATCCCGTCCCCCTTCTCAGCCAGGAACTTGGGGATCAGGCGGGGACACGGCACAGACAGATACAAACACACAGATGCACCCAGAGACGCCCACAGGCCTGTGCCCCAGAGAGGCACAGGCGTTCACACAGCCTTGGGCACACTCACACATGCACATTCACACGCACTCGTGGGCACTCCACAAGAAACTCGTGGGCACTCACCTCTTGCAAAGATCTCGGCCTGAAGTTCGGGGTTTAGACAAACGCACCCTGTGTCTCTGTCCGTGGTGCTGAAACCAGACATTTCTCCAGATGGAAGGACAAGACAGGGAAGAGATGAGAGGAGACCTGGGATGGGTGGTAGAAGACAGAAGGAATGGAGGAGGGAGAAGAGACAAGAGGGAGAAACTCACAGATAAAGGAGAGAGAGAGAGAGAAAGAGTTGAAAGGATACCAGGGGAACCAAGGAGTGTCCAAACACTGGGCCTGGGAGAGGCGGGTGAGGATGGAAGGTGACCTCAGACCCCATCCCTGCTTAAGTGCAGACTCAGGCTCAAGGATTTAGCCATCTTTGCCTTTCAGGGCCAATTATGGGAAGAGTTTGGTAAGGGTACCGTGACAGGTGAGGGACCCTGGATGTGTGGTTTCTGTGGCCTCCAGGTGTCCCTTTCCAGGTGCCTCCTTGCCTTGGAAGACCTTGAAATAGTAGGGGAAGGAGACAGACACCAAGAAAGGTCTATCATAACCCTACAAAAAGCTTCCCACCTGATTTCTTACCCCAATTTGTGTTGGGCAAGTGGACAGAAATGTTGATCTGGATTTGTTCTGAGGATTGTAGGGATTTAATGACTGCTTAATGTTTATCCACAAGATTGGATTATGGGTTCTTATCTCCCTCTCTTGAGATAAAATCTTCTCTCTGGTGGGATTGCCTAGTAGGGATGCTCTCCCACCAGCAGCCCCTTCATTGTGGAATTTATGGAATATAAGGAATGCCCACTTTCCTGGTGGGGGAGGAGGATTTTCAAAGACCAAAGGGCTTATTATATAATAACTAGGCAAGAGGGGATGAAGGAAAAGATGAGGAAGGAAAAAAGAGGAAAGGGGGGGAGAAAGGATGTGCGAATATGGATGAAAGAAGAAAGGGAAGAGGAAAGAGATTGGAGGAAGAGGAAAGGGGGAGGTTGGAGGTGTAGACAGCAGAAACGAGAGAGGGCATGAGTCACCCAGACAGACTCCAGTGTCCAGGGAAAGGACAGGGGAAATATGCCAGGTGGAGCAAATTGCTCCCCAGGGGCCCAGATTAGACTGGAAGTCCAGGCTGGTCCTGCAGCTGTTCACAATGCATTCTCCACCCTGAGCTTCGGGCAGAGAGGCTCCATGGGCCAGGACTACAGATGTGAGGAGCAACTGCCCTAACACAGAAGGTGGGATCAAATGCAGTCAAGTCTGTGTGTGGGTTTCCTCATGTGCGGGATGGGGACAGTGAGTGCCTTATTGGGGGTGTTTCCACCTATTTGCATGTGAGCAGTGGCAGGAAGAGAGACCCACATGTATGGATTTTCACAGGAGAGAGGGTATTGGGTTGATTGAAGGTAAGGAGCAGGCAGAGGGAGAAGAGAGGCAGAAGGAAAGGAGTGAGTGAAAAAGAAAGGATAATGTTTCTTAGAAATTTTGGACCTCCTAATTATTCTTTTATTCCTACCAAGAGAGAAGCCAGGCCTAGGACAAGTTGAACATATGTGCCCCAGTGTCCTTGTCTGTAGTATAGGTATGATGACAGTCCCAACCTCATAAGGTGGTTGAGATAATTATTAGCTTGTGTATAATGCTTAATTTAAGTTAGTTATGGATATATGATAAACTCCACATATATGTTAGTTTCCATTGTTATTGTTGTTAGATCTTGGTCTTGCACTGGAATCAGCAGGGAAATTTTCTTCACATTTAACTAGACCTTCCTGCTACAAACTCGGGTCAAACCTGTGGGTCTTCCTTTGGGCACCATAGAGAACTGTGATTTCCCAGCTCTTCAAATTTACTCCTGAAAACAAAGAGAGCCAGCAGATTTTCTGGGGTACAGAGGGTGACCCCCATGGTAAGGAAAGTGACAGGGTCTAAGGAACAGGGTTCACACCAAGGACCATCAAGGATGTTTTCCTGGATTCCTGAAAAAGCTGGATCCTGGACCTACATCAGTGCCTCCCTGTCCAGACTGGAGGCTCAGCACTCCACCCTATTTAGTGTAAGTGTCCCCGCCCCACTCAAGCCTGTACAGGTGTGAACATATGGGTCATTTCTTCCAGATTGCTCTCCCAATCCCAATCCCTTCGCTCTTTTTTACCTACCTTTCTGCTCTTTTCTTCTAAGGAATCTAGGTAGGAGGAAAGAAATTCCCTTACTACTTAGAGGGGTGGGATTTCCCCACCCTGCACAGGCAAAATAGATGGTCTCATTCTGGAGGTCAAGGAAGCATGTGGGGACAGGCACAAGGAGGGGTGAGGGGTGGCAGGGCAGCCCCCATGTCCTCCCATTCCCCCCAGCTCCTGTCTCATCACTGTCACCATTCAATCATAGCAGATGGGCTGCAGCTGTGAGCGCCAGCCCGGCACACAGGCTGGTCCGTGCCACTTGGGAGAGAAGGAAGAGAAAGGGAGGGAGGGAAGGAGGAGGAATGGAGGGAGGAGGGAGAGAGGAAAGGGACGAAGAGAAGGAGAAGGAAGAGGAAGAGAGTGGAGGAGGAGAGATAGCTTCAAGAGAAAGGAACTTGGTACCTTTTATGCCTCTCTTCCCAGCAGGAGAGCAGAGGCCAGGGCTGGGCTCACAAGCTGGGCAGTGCCAGGCGAGATGGGCATATGCCCTTGATTACTACCAGGACCGCAGGCCAAGCCTTCGCAGCCGCCACGGCCTCATAAATCAGTTTTTAAGTAGCAACCACATGGACATTTCCCAGCTGAGAGGCCTGGCCTCTGTCAGCCCAGCTAGGGCAGCCCTGGCGGAGGGGCAGGTGCCAAGCCAGGGCATGGGAAAGAGAGAGGTGGTCATCAAGGCTTGGTGGGAAGTGGGGTTGGAGCTTGTTCAGGCAAAGTCTGGGGGCAGGGTCTCCTGCCAAAAGGGAATAGGTAAGAAGGTGGCAAGTGGCTGGCAGTGGGTCCAGAGCCCCCTGTTGGGGCTCCTAGACCCTGTCCTGGTTTCCCGTGGGGAAACTGCCTACAGACAGAGAGGATGGTGTTGTTACTGGAACTCCCTCCTTCCAGGTCCCCCTCCCATATAGAATAGAGTCTGTGTGAGTGTGAGGGCCGTGTGTGGGCTTGTGCACTTGGGTATCTGAATGTGCTCACTGCTCCTGATGGGTAGGAAGGTATCTCCCCAATATCTAGCCCAAGCCTGGCAGAGACCAAGCATCCAGTAAGACTGCTTGAATGAATAAATGATCAAGTTCGAAGGGGGCCAGTTGCGTGTGTTCACAGGAAAGGGAGGATTTATATCTGAACATGTATGATGGCCAAGTCTATGTGCATGTATATATGTGTGTATGGGGGGGTGTCTGTGGGTGCTCTGGGGAGATCTATTCTGACAGACATCCCTCCACACCCTCCCTTGCAGCCCTCCCCTGAGCCCTGATTCTCCCCTTCTGAGGACCCACCAGTAAGACAGCAGCTCCTGAATTCCACTCCCCCCCAGCCCGATCCCCTGCTTAGCACCCCTTTCTGCAGGCCAGCGTTGGTGTTTGGGGCTAGGGGCATGGGGAGTGCGGGAGTCCCGCCCCCGGAACGGCGGGCAGAGCGGGCGGGGTGGGGGCGCCCAGCCTTCTTGCGCCGTGTCTCCTCCCTGGGTGAACAGATGTCTCGGAATTTTAGATGTGCTCTCCGCCCCTCCTCGCAGTAACTACCCCCACCCCCAGCTGGCACTGGCTGTGGCGTAGCGCCCTCCCCTCCCCCACCTCCGAGAGCAGAACCGGCTGACGGATCGGGGAGCGCGGCCCGGAGGCCAGGGCCAAGGGGAGGGGGCGGCCGGGTCGCGGCAACCGACTGGGCCGAATCCCCGAGGCTCCTGGTGCGGAGAGAACCGGGTCCGCGCTGCCTCCGCCTCTTGCCTTCTTCTCTCGTTCCTTCCCATCTTCCGCATCTCCTCAGCCCTATCTCTCCGTCCGAGATCCCCGGTCTCTGTGTCCCTCTCGCTCTCTGCCCCACCTCACAACCCATCATCCCGCCAACCGCGTCTATGCAAACCCTCCACACAGAGCCTCACACTTCGCGACAGAAACTCCTCCTGGCAACTTCGGCGGAATTCTTCCCTCCAGAGACCCCTTTCCCTGCATTCCGTGAGCCACCCCACCCCCAACTGGCCGCCTGCCTGCCCTCTGTGGAAACCCAGAGTTAATCCGGAAAACAGGAGGGAGGGCAGGAGGGGAGTGGGGATCGAGATTAGGGAGGCCAAGGATACCCGGGTTGGCCGGGGTTTGAGAGACACCTAAATTTTCTAATCACTGCTAATTAAGGAACAATCCAATTCCGTGGACCCCCAACTCGGGGAAGGGGGCGGGACCCGCTGAGGGCAGGAGGGGGCCTTGGCAGGGCTTGGCAGTTGGGGGTGGTGCCAGGCACCCTCCCCCACCCTCCCCCCACCCGCCAGCATTCCGAGGTAACAGGCATTTGTTACCCAGCTCGTGCCAGGAGCGATTGGCAGGTTCGAGTAGGCACAGTCATTCCGCACACAGATGTCCCTGCGTTCGCTCTTCTGATATGAATTCTGTCAGCTCCAAATCTGAGGGAGATGAGCAGACAGCCCCACAGACAGAGTTACAGACAGACAGAGCAATTGTCTGGAGGACACAGAACTCCACAGATATTTATTTTTCTTCTCTGAAAAAAAAATTAATGAAAGAAAATTAAGACGCTCACTAATTTGGGGGGACCCATCTGAGCTCCTGAGAGTGGCCCTCACTTTTTCAGTCCTCCCCCGATTGCATGCCCACACTTTCCCAGTCTTCCCCAGGGCCCCAGATATCATCCCTGAACTTCAAATTTGAGTCGCTGCAACCAGAATCACAGAACTCTGGGAGGTCTGCTGCCTCATATAGGACCCAGAATTCCCAAATCCCTGCAAGTTCTAGAATACCACCAGCCTGGTGCAGGTTCCAGCATTCTAGAATCTCTGAAAGTAGAAATTCCAGAACTCCCGTTCCTGGGCAAATTGTGCCCAGTGCCCAATTATTGTATCACCCTCTCCATTAGAGAGGGGAAAGTGGGTGCTGTCCCATGTACTGGAATGGGGGGCCCCACATCGCCTGGTCCCCACCAGCTGCCCCAGCCTTGGCAACCAGCCAAAAACACAGCCTGCCCTTTGAATTAGGAATGCAGAAAGGTCAAGACCCCTGACTCCTACCCCTTTCTGGCACTCCCTTCCAGCTCCAGTTCCCATCCTGACCCTCCACACCTGACCTGGCCATTCTGCCTCTGCCCGCCCCAGCAGCTGTGGGAGAGAGCTGGTTGGTCACTGGGCATCTGTGAGCAGGCTGGGCATGAAGAGCCGCTGGGGTTTGGTTCTCCCTGGGCAGCGCATGCTGGTGGAAAAAGGGGGAAGGCAGAGGGGCCAAAGTAACTCACTGACATCAGAGGAGAGGGGCACAGAGGGATTTGGGTTGTGGTTTGTTGGGTTGTGTTTTTTTAATCTTTCTTTCTTTTTTTTAAAAAGAAAAAGCCCCCATCCTGTGTCATCATTTTTATGGGATCTGCAATTCTGGCAAAAATCTGTCTTTAATTTAGCTGTCCATATAAAAATCCTCACTGTATAATAATGAACAGATGCCATGGAATTTAAGCTGGAGCCTCGGCTCCTCCCCGCCTTCCCCCCGCGCCTGGCACCGGGCACCGGGCACCGGCTGGATGGCACAGGCTGACACCAACACGGGAGCAAAGGGTGGGCAGGGGGCGACCTGGGCTCAGCGCCAGGGCCCTGGGGTGGTGAACGGGTGTCCAGGCGCTGGGCTTGGCCAGGCGGGAGCTTTTCCGTGGTGGCACCCGGGAGAAGTGTCTGAGGGATGTTTCTTTTTCTACAAAATGATCAGTAGTTAAGGATTTTGGTTTGGTTTTGCTTAGGGGCTTTGTGGTCCTTCTCAGGTTTTTTTAAAAAGCACCGCCCTCCCCCCAGTATAAATCCAAATGTTTTCGAAGTTTTAATTGAGTTGTGTTTAACCCTTCCCCTGCGCGGCGCCCCCGCCTCGGCCTCGGAGCCCAGCCGAGCGCGAGTTCGCTGCAAGCGGGATCCGTACCGCTTCCCGCCGGCCCGAAGCCTCCGAAGTATCCCGGGCGCCGGCGCCTCCGGAGGCTCCCCGGCAGCTCCCGCGGGACAGGAGGACCCTGTTGCCCTCCAGGAGCGAGGCCCGATGTGGCATCTGATTGTCGAGCGGGAGAGACGGGGGCAAGAGAGAAAGCCCCACTTGCCCCATACCAATTCTCTAGCTTTTCCCGAGGGGAAAGAGAAAACTATGCGAGTCCGGCGTCCCCCACTGCCTCCGCCTGCGGTCGAGAAAGCAGGCATCGGCTCGGGATTGAGAGGTTGGTTCTGAGCCCCCCACCCCCACCCCTTGCCTTAATGCCACTCTGGCAAGAACAGATGTCCCAAGCCGGGCGGACTGCCCAGACCCCGCCCAGCTGTGCCCTTGGTGAAGACTTGGCTGAGGGTAGGAACTGGCACGCGGGTCCCCAAAGGGGCTTGGGGGCTCCTTCGTCCCGGCGGGACCTAACCTGGCAGCCTTGGCCTCCTGGCCAGCGCAGCCTCGGGCGGGAGGCAGAAGCGCCCCGGAAAGACCCGTTCCTAATTCAATTAATTCCAAAAAGAGGAATGAGACGAATACGGAGGTGGAGAGAAGCGGGGAGAAAGGTTTGAATAACCAAACACCAGGCACACACTCCGTGTATGGAACCCTGCAGCCCCAGTCGGCTTGGGGAGTCAGTGCTGCGCTCCTGGCTGGAACAGGCGGCCGAGTTTCCAGTGCCAGAGCCACACCCTGGTGCACATCTGGGCATCTCCACCCAACGCAGTACCCCAGCTTTCTTGGCACAGCCAATGTCTAGGGGTTCCCTTGTCCTTTCCTCTGTGAGCACCCCAGGTTCTCCTCACACGGGGTTGGGGGGGCTAAGGCCCCCCAGTCCCTGGCATCTCCCCCTGAGAAACTGGTTGCCTTCCTGCCTGTGAGCCCAGCATCCCTCTCAGCCTTCTCCTGCTGGCGCTCCCCGGGCAGGCTTCTCCTATTCCAGCACTTTAAGATGGAAAAAGTTTCAGAGGGCAGACCAGCCCTTCCCAGGTCTGCGCCCTTTCTTCCCACTCCTCACCCAGGAGAATTTTGTCCAGAATTTTTAAAGATGCAGGACAGAGAGGCAAGAGGCCGATTCAGGATTTGGGAGAGGAGTGGGGTTTCCAGGTTTCTCAAAGTCCAGCTCCTCACCTCCTCTCTGGTCTGTGGCCCATGTTTTCATGCCCCAGCCCTAAAGAAAGAAAAGTGACAATGTCTTGGGCTGTGAGCTGGGAAGCCTATCGTGATGCTGAGATCGGTCTGCCCCCTTCCACATCTCACAAAAAGCAACTTTCTCCTTTGAGCACATAGGAACAGGTCAAGTGTGAAGTCCTGGTTTGACCCCTGCCGTAACATGAGGAGCCTGGGAGTGGAGGAGGAGGCCAAGGTTGGTCAGGCCTGGCCCACAGTGTCCCTTTCTTCCCACATTCCTTAAGAACTAAACTGTGGAATCTAGAATTATCCCTCAGTCTCAATGTCCCCTCAAATCAACAGATTTCTCCAAGGAGCAAGCAACTTCAAGTTTAAGATTCTCGGGAAGAGGAGAAAGCAAAGGTCATCCAAGAGGAAATGAAATCTCTGACCTTTGTGGGAGATCCTTGCATCCATGGACTTCCCCATAAAGCAGAAAGAGAGAGAAGCAAACACAACCCGATGGAGTCTAGGGAGTGGCAGGGGTTCACTGTTGCTGACTCCCATGGGATTTAGTTTCCCTGGACTGTACTCAGTGGTTTATTGGGCTGTCCCACTAGGTGATGAAATCAGAGCTGGGGTTCACTGGGCATCGGGGGCTCATGGTCCAGATTATGTCTGGTTAAACAGAGAGGAGAAAAGCAGCAAGGCTTTTCCTCCCTTTTCCCCGATGGAAATATGGTCTGCACTCAGAAACATCTCTGTTTCCCTGTCATTTCCAAGTGCTTGACTTCGGATGGGGGTGGGAAAATCAAGGGGAAGATGCCCTCCTGATTGATCCCGGCTGCAGCCTTCAGGTTCCACAGACCAGGGGTTGAGCTGAGTGAGTCTGCTAGTACGTGCTTGGAGATCCCGCCGCTCAAGCTAGGGCAAGAAGGGTGTCCTCTCTTCGACTTCTCCCCTTGCCCCCTCCCTCCCACTGCTCTGGCCCCTTTTAGCTTTCTCCCCACCCCCACCCCCACCACACACCTCCGTCTGTTCCTGGAGCTTCTCTGTGTGTGTGCGTGCAAGCGGGAGAGCCAGCGAGAGGAAACGACCTGCGAGGGGGAGTTTGGGGCCGCGTGTCCTCGCGCATCTTCTTCTCCTGCTCATCTCACCATCTCACCAGGGAAGTTGAGTGTTGGGGAGGAGGGTTGATGGGAGGATAGAGCACAGCCAGAGTGCAGGGAGTGTGGGGGAAGGGTCAGGAATTGGGAAAAGGGTAGCTCTTGCTGCCGCTGGAATTCACAGTAAGCAGCGGCACTCCAGATCCCCGCCCCAAAAGGGGGCCTGGCACCCCCCCCACCCCCTCCCGCCCAAGGTGACCGCAGACGCCGTGGCCCGAGAGTCATCAACATCTTTCCCATCTTTCCAAAGGATCTGGAATCCAGCTTCAAAAACTGAATCGTGCCGTGTGGAGTAGCCGGAAGAATGAAGCGTAGGAGTCTGTGGTCTGGCCAGGGAAGCCACGTGGAGGGGTCTTTTGCTTCCGGCCCCAAGCCACCTGGATACTACCCAGCCCGGGACTTCAGAGAGGGTTCTGGGAAACAGGCTGAGTGGGAGAGAAGCCCAATTAACCTTGTTTCCAGGGCAGGATAAGACTCAGGCCTCGGGATGGGTGCCGAGTTCCTTTTCTCTCTAGTTGTCCCTGCCAGGCCTGTCCCATGCCATGAGCAGACCAGACTCCAGATTTGAGTCTGGGATTTGCGCCTAGCTTCATACACCATGCGAGAAGTGGGGGAGAAAGGTGTGTCAAGTCCTTTCTCCCAAGAATAGGGATGATTCAGAGGTTTATTAAATTCCCTTAGACCACTGAGACAGGTGAATCCTAGGTGGAAGGGCCCAGTTCTTAATCTCACTTTAGACATATGATCCTATAAGAATTTTAGAATGAAATTTTGAGAAGATTCCAGTGAAATTCTCTGAAAACTACGGAAGAATTCCACCCAGAATTCTAGCCAGGTGTCGGAAAGGGCCTCTCTCTGTGTGGCACTCCCTAGGGCCGGGCACAAGCAACCTCCCTCTGAGGCTGGTACACAGGAGACTGGACGAGAGTCAGCACCTGGGAGTGGACAGCTCCCAGCCCCCCCCTCCCCCCCTTCGGCCTCATCCACCCAGAACAGTGAGGGCACCGTCTCCACTGGTAAGACAGAGTGTTTGGAAGTGGTCACTTTTTTTAAGGGAGACGCTGAGCTGAAGGTCAGACAGTATAATCTGATCTACCCTTTTCACATTTAAGGCTTCCTTCTTCAACTACCTTCTTTCCAG